GCCTTCCTACCATAAATAAATCAAATTAATGTCAATTGCAACGAAAACAACAGCAGACGAATGTGGAGTGCCAGGACACAGGCATTCTACTCAAACGACTCAATTTAACGAAACAAAAATCATTAAGCCATTTAGCAGAGATGTAGAGAGTGCCGAAAAACGATTACAGACATGGGACAGACAGACAGACGTGGCCCTGATTTGTTCGTTGACTTCTTATTCTGGCCAGGAGCCCACCTGTCTAGGCCTCCAGCTGTGCCCCAAGATGCTTGGATGTGGGCTTGGATCCGATTCAGGTGGCTGTCAACAATGTGCAATGATTTCTCTCCGGTCGAAGGCAATCACAGAGTCTGACACGGCAATTAGACTGCAACAAAGGGGGTCAGGGGGCTGACCACTTCTGCCTATTAGTTATTGAAATCAGCTGTCAGAAAGTTCCGAAAATTGCACAAGTCCCAACTGATGGCTGGAATGGCATAAATGCCACAGCTACAGAACCCTCTGACGCACACTGCTCGAAATCGAGGAAATGTCGACCGAAACTTTTCCACGTCCGCTTAGGAATCGAAGTTTCCGATGCCATTTCCACATGCAAAATTGATATTCAATGGGCTTTGGCGAGTGTAGAGTGGCTTAGAAGAGCAGATTCCTCGACAGGCACTCACAAAAATGGCCGACGTGACCATGGTAACCTGTTAAGCATACACACTAGGGTGGACTAAAGAGATACATATTTTAAATTATTTTAAACTTAAAATGGAACAAAACTTTAAGGAGCAACAAAGATATATGTCATGTTGTATCTATCAATTTTGCATTTTCAAAGTTCAAGACACATGTTAGAAAACTCTAAGAGTCACCCTAATGCATTCAGATGGACAGATACACATATGCAAAGGACACGGGTTTCTGGGGAACGGTTGATTTGATCGCCGAGCGAGGAGAAAGAAGAGCAGAATGAGACCGAAGGACCTCAGCTGCTGCAGAAAGTTTCCACAATACCAGTTGCCCATTCGCATTTCCCCCGCTCGAGTGTGAATTCATGTAAATGTGTGCGAGTCCTGTGCCGCATTTGTTTGCTCTGTTTATAATTCAATTGTAAATGCATTTCAATTACGTGCACATTAAACAGGGCCAGCACAGACAAAGTTTTCGGTGTCGGACCAAGGACTCCGACTTGACCACTGGGCCAGGCCAGGCCAAGACCACGGCCAGGGCCAGGGCCATTACCACGGCCATTGCTGGCCAGAGTCTGAGCCAGAGCCAACTTAGCGAGCGGAACACGCTCCACATTTAAGGACAATTGCCCCATTATGGGAACGCGTTGAAACGGCAAAATGAAAGTGGGCAAAAAACAAAGAAAGGAGGCAGGAGGATGCATCCAGGATAACAATGCCATTAACAACTACTACAAATGGCTCTTAAAGGTGCAATGTGTGAACGAATGCCAACGAGCGAGCAGCCTAGAGTTTGCTGCGGGCAGAAAATAAGAAACAAACTGCAATGATTTGCGAGAGAACTTTTAGCCCCATCAAAGGAAATGATGAAAGCAGTTTTCAAAAAGTTGGAAAAGCGTTAAGAAGAGGTTGAAAGCAATGCATTCTTGATAATGTAGGAGCAGTGCTAGTTAGATCAGCTACTCAGGCTCTAAATACACTAGGTAGGTCTTTTAGTAGATTATGGCAATTACCTTTTAGTGTTGTGTCTGAGCAAGAATTTAGAGGCGTAAAAAGTAATGATCTTTTAAATTTCCTAGGCAATTTATGCTGAACAACTGTTTCGATTTGGATCTGTCGACATCGGCAGCATTGTTAACAAGGCTTAATTGAATGTGAACTGGGCCAAAAAGTCGCAACGACTCTACCGACTACTTGGATCATCGACGGGGGGCTAAAGCCACCCCGATTGCGTTAAGAGCAGTGGAAACCTGCCCAGTCAGAGGTTAAATGACCTTTGGAGTGCACTTAACCAGGCAGCCAGGCTCAGCCGAGCGTTCCCTGCCGTTCCGTTCGAGGCTGTGTCTATGTGAGTTTGTGGGTCCTGAGCACTGAATCCTGAGTCCTGCAACCCTCGCAAGTTTTTTGGGCCGTAACCAAAGCCACTCTAATGAGTCGTCCAAGTCCGAGCTCCAGTCCAGTCCCGCCGCATTCACAATTAGCCTCGAGTCCTTGTGGCCCTGCAGCAGTCACTAAAGTGTAACCTGTATTCTTGACCACATTCACTGCCCTTCCCCGATCGCCCCGTTCGCCCTGTCCACCCGGTAAACCCTGCCCACAACATCGTCATCGTCTTTGGCAATTAAGCCTTGGCCGACCGTTGACCACGGCAAATGACCGCAGCCAGTTTGCTTTCATTAATTTTTGGTTGTAATCCTTGCTGAAGCTTTTCATTTCATTTTAGTTTTCGCCTCGCAGTTGTTGTTTCACTGGCTACGGCCGGCTCTTTCCGGACTTTCCGGGCTCTTCCTCATCATCCTTGTCGTGCGTGTGCATAGTTCGGTGCACACTTTTTCACACTTGGTCGTACCTACTGTGGATGCCCAGTACGAGGAAGGGTTGTATGGGTTGTGGGTACGAAATCAGAGAATCTCCAAATCTATAATCTCTATTTTTGGCCTGGAGCTAGAAAGCTTTGACAGATTCCATTTGGGAAGCCCAAAGTCTATATAAAGTCTATAAAGATATCAGTGTTTCATGTAAAAAACCTAGAAACTAGAATTTTTAGACTTGATAGTGATTAATCATCTCCGATATATCTGTAGTTTCCTTTTACCTGATATACAAGGATATATCTACTTGTCTCATCACTTGAATAGAACCCATTATAATGTGAATGCAGTCACTCAAATCGAACCCAGAGACTCTTCCTGGGATACTAAATAATTACAGTTTGCATTTCCCCGTTCTCTCCATCGCCATTGCTTTGACTACTCAACCATAGGTGGCACTTTGATGAACTCTCATCGGCCCTCAATGCACTGCCATTGTTTTGCCGCCTTTTGCAATCCAAATCCCTTTCAGCTCGCAAATTAAACAATTTACAGGTCACTCCGGAGTCCGGAGGCGGCGATGACCCGGCGACGGCCTCTTTTTTCTTTGTTGCCGGGGACTGACCGTTGAGTTTTTTGCCACAGTGGTCATGTTTTTACATCTGGGCCATGTCCAGGTCCAGTCAGCTTCGGTAGCCTCAGCGTTAATGACTTTTGTGCTGCGCCCCTCCCATTTGTCGGCTCTCCTCTGTCGCCTGACCAAATGTTTTAAAACTGGCCAGCAGTTTTTGCTGCTCCTGCAGCTCCTGCTGCTTCTGCTGCTGTGCTGCTGTTATTGTGGGTTGTTGTTACTGGCGATTGCCGGGCGGTTAGTGCGCCGCGTTTGCTACCGCCCGCAGTGTTTGCCAGGACAGCCAGGACAACCGACTCATTTGTACAGGTTTTTTACACACTCCGCCTCGTTCGGGTCGGTTGGGGAGTGGGGACAGGGGAAAGGGGAAAGGGGAAAGGGAATTGTTAATTAAAGTATTGTCTCCTCGTTGCTGGCAAAATGAACAAGTAGAAACAAGGACCTGGCCCCACTAGTCCTGCCCAGCTCAGCTCGTCCTGGGCCGTCAATTGTCGAACATGGTACTCTACAGTTCCACTTAACAGCTACAATGGGCACTTTGCCACAATGAATTCAAATGGATGCCCCCGACGTTCGTTTTTTTCACTGCACCACACTCACACTGCCACCGACACTCACGTACACACACACACACACCCAAAGTGCTACATGTGTTGTTATTGTTGTTTCTGCTGTGTCGCTGCACACACACGTGGACATGACGTGCACACAATGACAGCTGACTGTTGGCTTCCAAAAGTCCCGAGGCCATGGCAGTCCACAAACGAGAGTTCGGAGAAGGTGGCGGAGGGGATCACTGGCTAGCCCGGGGTCAGAGGTGAGTCACGAGGTGCTGGGGAGTCGGAGGACTCATAGAACAGGCCGTGATTCTTTAATGACTGCTTTAATTTTCGGGCTTACCAATTAAAACTACGTGGCCAATGAAAAATACATGCTAGGACTCGGGCCCGGAGCTCGAAACATAATACAAAGGCCAGAAGAGCACAAGAAGAGGAATCCCCCAGAGAAAGGGTCGGGGAAAATGGGAAAATTCCGTTGAGCTAGACGAATGTTCGGGGGCAGCCACTTGAAGTGTAAATTGGTTGCCCAAAGATGCAATTGCGGAGTGGAAATTGCACAAGGGCAGCTCGGTAATGTAATTCGGCTAAATGCACCGAGCGGACATCTCAAGTACAGTCTGCCAGTGAAATTTGGCAACGGCGGCTGCCCATAAGTGCACTAGCTGGCGCTAGGCGGCGCCGAATTAATTTGTTAAATGGGAATTAAATAAATGAAATGCGGTCACTCGGAGAGCCAGAGGATCACGGAATAGTGGCCAACAACGAAGATGAAGTAGCGCATATTTTCCCCACCCCCGGGTTTTCCGGCTGAAGTGCGGCAACGTTTCCGGTGAGCTGCAATTTGCACCATTAACCCGCCATCGACAATGCCCAACTTCAGCTTCCGACTGCAGCTGACCAAACATCCCATCCACCTGCTCTCTGGCCAGCTTGCCAGCTCTGCCCACAGGCAAACATCCTTGCTTCCTTCCTGCCCTGTTGTTGCCGGCTGGCCAACTTGCAAGCGCGAGTTCCCTGCTTTTTTGCCAATGTGTACTTCATTTAGCAGGCGAACCTTGTCCAGAATAAACGGTGGGGAACGAACGACCGAGAGAGGCTTCCGGAGCACAAGGCATGGGGCATGGGGAATGGGGCATGGAACATTCCCAGCCAGACAGTGCATCCGTGTACACGTCAGCAACGACATTATTGCCGCTGTTGCTGGGTTGTTGCAACGCCATTATAACGCCATTTCGACAACCCCACCTTGACCACCTCTGGCAACTAATTTTTTACACATTTCTCATTTTTCAACCCGCCATTATCCGCTCTTCCTTTGCAGAACGACACGATGCGCCTGCTGTACATGTACCACGCCCAGGATCCGCCGCACGGCTCGGTGCGTCCTGGCACCCTTCCGGATCCGGCCCGCGCCTTCCGTCCCTACCGCCCCATGGTCCTCATGCAGCGCGCCCAGCTGCCGATGCCCTCGCCCACGCACGACGAGCGCGTGCGAGTCCTCGAGCTGCGCAACGAGGATGTGGAGCTGCCTTCCGGCGACCTGCCGCTCTTCTGGTGCAAGATGTTCAAGCTGGAGGACATCAATCGCAAACACCACCTGATCCGGGTAAGGGAATTCGAACCAAAGCCCCAGATACCCAGTGAACGAGGCTCTACTAAGGTCGTTACTTTAGGTAGTCATGTAGGGAAGATAACGTACTTAACATTTGTTTATGAACAGTTCATTTTAGTTTGAAGTTCCAATCTAAAACTATTTAAAGTTAAGAACTGGATTACAATGTTTTTTAAGAGTAACTAAAAGCCAAAAAGACAATGGAAGTGTTGGAGTCGGAACTCCTGCCACATCCTTGAAATACTTTCGCCGGGGTGCAGCACTAAACGATATTAAATACAATGCATAATTAAGGCCAAGTGCAGTGACGCGTCCTGGCATTCCGCTTTTGTCTGGCAGTTACTGCCCCGCCTCTCGGCCCGCCGAGTTCTGCAGTTCTGCATCCTGAGCTGCCGTTGTCTCTTGGCCTCGGCATAACCAAATTGAAATATTAAAAATTTATCCCCGTCTCGCGCGCCCTATCTTTCCCACAATGCACATCATCTCACTAACCGTTGTCTCTCGACCTCCCCGGTTCATTTTCTTTTCATGGCTGGCAGTACGAGCCGATTTATGATTCATCGTCCAGCGTGCACTACTTGCAGCACATAACGCTACACGAGTGCCAGGGTGCCCACGCGGAGCTGGAGGAGATGGCACGCGAGCAGGGCCGCCAGTGCCTCGGAGCCCGGTCCATTCCGCTGGCGTGCAATGCCATCGTGGCCTCTTGGTCGCGCGGCAGCGAGGTAAGCATAAGCATCCGAGAACGGAATCGCAATCTCCGGCCCCAATACTCCCCCTTTCCCCCAACCTCGACCCCCAATACCCTCTACCATTTTCGTCATAACCATAACCATGCAATATTAATTTAACCTTCGCAAATGCTTCCTTTCAACACGAAAAAAGGAGTCAGAGAACCCATGGCAGAATGCCTACACGAATATTCGATTGCCCTTCTTTGAAAGAGAACTCCGAAGTTAGGTCTATGAAGCACTTTATCTATAGAGCACCACCTCTCTCTCGAGATTAAAATATGTGCTTATTTATGCTTAATTTAAAGTTACACCAGTACCTTTAATTTAAAGAATCTGCCTCTTCTGATTAGAGTTTTGGGATGCACATCCCAGAAAAATCCCCATTAAATCAAAAAACTGATTCTGATTAACTCAAATTTACAACCATGTCAGATCTGTGAACGTGAGTCCTTCAGAGAATGCATACCCCCACTTCATGGAGAGTATACCGAAAAAATAAATACCTTGGCCCTATTGGCCCCTGACCTCTCCGCCATGGCTCATGTTTTTGTTTTTCGAGGAGCAGTTCCGTCGACTCAGTGCAGGGCTTTCATAATTTCATCAGAAGAGCGCTATAATGCAGTGGCATGTTATGGCTGCTGTCCGCCAGGGGCGCTCGGCAATGCAATTGAATGGCAATGGTCGAGATGGGAGTGTGGAGCTGAAGAGGAGGGCTACGGCTCCTCCGATGGCTGCATTTAAATTGCACACGGCCATGGCATCCACTTCCGCCCTGTTCAGAAAAAGGAGGGAAAGAGAGAGAGGGAGCCCCCAACTTCCACACAAATATATATACTCATGTGCGAGTATAAAAACAAACACTCAACCCGTCTTTGTATCCCTTTTTTCCGCCGTTTGCTGACATTTTTGGGCTTTCTTTTCGCAGGGCTTTACGTATCCACACGAGGCAGGCTACCCGATCGAGTCGCGCCAGGCGAAATATTATTTAATGGAGACCCATTACAACAATTTGAGGCCCGACTTTGCCCAATTGCACGCCAGACAAATGGCGGATAATTCGGGTTTGAAAATCTACTTTACGCACGTCCTGCGACCCAACGATGCCGGCATTCTGTCAATCGGTAAGTATATCCTCCTCCCCCCAGATATATGCATATACCCCATATATATATATGTATATATGTATATGTGGGGTATGTGGCAATATAAACTGCAACTGGGTGGGCTAACGGGAGCGAGTGGGAGAGCAGCTGCTGCCCTTTTGTATATTTTATGCGACGGGACTTGTACGAGTGCGAGTGTATGTGTATGTGTGTATATGCAACTCATGTCATGCAATTTATGAGATTGCCGAGTGGACTAGAGCCGCCACGGATGGGTGTGGAATGGCAGGTCTAACCGCATTGGTGGGGCTAGTAAAACAAAAGCTTATGACTTTACCCAGCTTGTCCGAATGCGGTTTAGCCGGGCCCGAGAGTGGGTGTTTCCATGTATCTGCTGCGTGTTTGTGTGTGTGTGTGTGTGTGTGTGTGCCTGGGCTGTCTGCAAAAACAGCCATAACAACAAACAAAAGAGATAAATCCTGGGAAGGAGCAACCAGACAGCAATTTAACTACCTTTTATCCACCATGAAAGTTTATATCGTCACAATTTTAATACGTCCATGCCTGTCAGACAATGGCATTCTTTTTGTTTAGCTGCCCCAAATTGCTCAGAAATAGATTTTCATTTTAAATTTGGCGTTCGCCGGACATGGACATGCTGGCACACGCATCCAAATCAAACAACTCCAAGGACCTGGCATGTGTCTGTAGTGGAAACACAGCGGAAAGCTCAAACTTTCTAGCCAAGCAACTAAATAATTCAAAAAGCAAAAGGTTAGGTGCTGCCCGTAACAGTTCATTGTGGCTAGTTGCAACGAGGGTTTCTTTTATAGTTATTTGGATATGCAACGTTTCAGGGTAATAACTAGTTAAGAAGCCTTACTTAAGTAACGAAATGTATCGCCCTTATAACTTGATTCAGGGATAACCATTTCGAGTGCTCAAACACTCTTTATTAGTCAATCTCCTTGGCAGTCGTTGAAGTCACCGTGGTATCCCCGACGCTTTTCTCTTCAATTATCACATTTTCCAGCTTATCCACCAGAGGAATACTTTCGACTCACCGACCGACTCTCGATTGGAAAACCCACAAAACAGCAATTTACAAGCACCTTGCTGTGCCCACTCTCAGAATTTCCCAACCCAATGGCTAAGCGCTTTTTGAGTACTTCTCAGCCACACTCCGCTGCACCACCCACCCGTATCTGCCGTATCTGGGAAAGCCCCGAACGAACCACCTGAAAATTCTTCAGGTACTCAATTTTTTTATATTCATTGTTCATTGCGTGGTGGTTCGTGAGCAGGCCGAGGATAACTAAAATACTAATTTCACTTTAGAATTTATTTCTATTTTTCCTTTTGGCCGTGCCCGGCTGTTTCTTCTGTTTGTTTTTGGCATTTTTGGGTGGCTGAGATGGGAGGAGGCAGGAGGCGGGAGCCGTCGTTCTGTCCTTCCTGCTGCTGTTGTTGTTGCAATTGTTATTTCACTTTTGTTGAGAGTCACGCAAACCAATATAACTTTTCCCCAACCGCACACAGGGACATGGCCAAAAAGGCGAGGGAAATGGAGCAAGAGAAAGCGGGGGAGGGGCAGAACTTCGTCTACTTACATTTCTCCCATCTTTTTTTATTTTTTGAGTAGGTGTTGCCAAAACTTCCGGAGTAGAACGCTGGAGCACAGCGGAAAACAGAAAGAGAAGTGGATTAATACATCTTGATAGAAAAATACGAGGTGTGTTCAAAAAGTAAGGTGACTTTTCAAATTTCGCGGGCAACATATTTTCGATTATCGTTTTTTTTGTTTTGTTATATTGGTACACTCTTCCCTAACATCTGTACCAAGTTTCAATGGAACATCCTCTTTTGTTTGGTTGTGAGAGGCGTAAAGTTACAAGTTGTTTTGCGAGCTCGGCGATTTTTTGCTTTTTTCGGTCTTGGCTCGTCTGGGCTCTTCCATTGGGACGATTGGGCTTTGGTTTCGATATCATAACCATATACCCATGATTCGTCACCAGTTATGACCCTTTTGAGTAAATCTGGGTCGTCGTTGACGTCATTCAACAGCTCTTGAGCGATGCTCATGCGACGGTTCTTTTGGTCAAAATTCAGCAATTTCGGAACAAACTTCGCTGACACACGACTCATACCCAAAACGTTTGAAAAAATTTCATGGCACGAGCCAAGCGATATACCGACATCTTCAGCAACTTCTCTGATAGTGATTCGACGATTTTCCAAAACAATTTTCGTCACTGCTTGAACGTTTTCATCAGTTGTTGACGTGCTTGGGCGTCCAGAGCGAGGCTGGTCATTGGCATCTTCCCGGCCATCTTGGAAGAGTTTGTACCACTTGTACACATTTTTTTTACTCAGAACAGTTTCACCGTATGCCACTGTCAACATTTCAAGTGTTTCAGAGCACTTAATTTTATTTTTTACACAAAATTTGATGCAAATCCTTTGATCCATATTTTTCGATAGCAAAAAATCGCCGAGCTCGCAAAACAACTTGTAACTTTACGCCTCTCACAACCAAACAAAAGAGGATGTTCCATTGAAACTTGGTACAGATGTTAGGGAAGAGTGTACCAATATAACAAAACAAAAAAAACGATAATCGAAAATATGTTGCCCGAGAAATTTGAAAAGTCACCTTACTTTTTGAACACACCTCGTACAATTTGGAAAAGCCGAAAACAGAGGAAAATTTCAGAATAATCCGGCGCCTCTGTGGGCGGGAGGACGAGATCCGATTCGGTGGGCTTTAGGGACGGCGAAGCCAGACGGCATTTGCCATTGAAATATTTAATTGGAATTTAACGCATACCACGCCACGCCACACCCACACACACACACACAGAAGTCAATAAATAAAAAATGAGGAAAGCCATAGCGAAAATAAAATGTTGGCTACAATTTTCTCCTGGTTTGCTATAAATTGAATTAAGGAGCGCAAGGATTCGGGCCGGGGAGCTAAAGCCAAAGCTCTCGGGCCCCACACGCATAAGTAGCTGCGAAATTGCTGCGTTTCCGGTCTGTTTCCGTCCCTCTCTCTTCCGTTCTCGGCGGCTGGGGCAAAATTTAATTTCAATTTAATTGGTTATTGATATAGCGCCCTGGTGTATGCAACGAATCTGTGATTAATGTTGCGGCTTGGCGAATTTTTATGGCACCTTGGAGATGGGAGATTGGAGTTGGGAGTTGGGAGTTGGGAGTTGGGAGTTGAGATGTGGGAGTAAAGATCTGGAAGGTGGGGCGGAACAAATGAGGTTGGGACATGTTAAGCCCGCTTGGGGATTGTAATCTGCAGCTCAAAGCTTATCGAAAAATGAGTGAACATCCGCTGATCACCCGCAGAGTGGGAAATGTATGATTCGGTCTTCACTTATGGGCAGAAAGTCATTATCCAACGAAGATATGAACTCACTTCATTGTTTTAAATGGTTCATTATGCAGATCTTAGACATAGTCAAACTTCTTCTAAAATGTTTTGAAAAGAACATTTTATATCTATTACCATCAATGCTGAAAGTACCCATAAAAGCTTCCTCATGGATATGAAAATGAACTTGGAAATGAACATCCAAGATATTAAGTATGAATATTAAGTACTGCCAAACCATTTGCATAACTCCATTAAAGCACTGAAAAAGAATACATTTCATTTATACTAAAACCGAACCGCTTTAAGCTGCCGCCACAGAGTTTATCTGACCCAAAAATGTTTTGGGGAAATATGATTTGGGGGCCAAGTTTCAGTCAGCAGTTTCGGCGTCGAAATACACAAATAAATTGCTGATATCTGTGTCTCCCATGGACGCTAATCAAATTGTTTCGGAATCGGTAGTCCCTCTTTTCGGGACATAAAGTGAGTGAGCTGACGCTTTGACACAAATTGCCATTTAAAATAATTAGAAAAGTTGCAATCGGACATTTTTGCATTTTGCCATTTGCCGTGTGCCGGCTGTCAACATGCAACTGCCTGCCACCCCGACCCGACCCGACCCGACCAACTGCCAACTGGATGGCAGCGTTAAATATCGATTTGGAAAATATGTGTAGTTATGAATTGCTAGCGAGCTTGTCCCCGCCGCGCTTTTGGCCAAATCAAATAGAAATAGAGCCAATCCAATGTCCCCTGCCCCCGCCCGGCCCCTCTTGGCTATGCCGGCGAATTTCGTCATGCTTCGCATGGCCAATATTGAATTTTGATTTAATGAATGGAAATTCGCAGAGACGCAATGGGGGGAAGAGAGACAGAGACAGGGACAGAGATTCAAATGAAATGAATCCGAACGAACGAATCCGAATTTGAAACTCTGATGGCCATCCATTTCGCAGCGCAGCTCTCTGGCGCTTTGATAATATTCAAATGGACTGATCGAATTGAAAGTTAATGGAAATCAATTAAAGGATGGCCGCAAAACTTTTGCCTACTTCCGTCGAAGTGTTCTAAAGAAGGCGGGCAAACGGAAAAACTTGCTAAGCGAGAGCTCAGCGTTTCGGGGTTTCGGGGCAGCTCGCATGAATCGTAATTTTCAATTAAATTGATGATGGGGGAATTTCGGTATCATAAAGTCCTGCCACGCGCATGGTAGATTGATTGATTTTGCTCGCGTGACACTTTGTAAAATGACCAAAAAATAGGAGCCGAGGGGAGTCGTTTAGGTGGATGGGTAGATGGACTCCGGGAAAACTTTTTAAAGCCATCGCGGCATAGTTAAACAGTTTTTTGGTAATTGAAAATTGATTCCCTGCTACATGACAAAGCCGAAAACCCATTCGGTGGCGACTATGAAAATTAATAGAAATAATCTGGCCAGCGAATATGCAAGCGAATTTCCATATATTTCCATTCCGATATATATACAGATGTGGGCATATAGTTATGGATATTCCCAACTGCGCCGGCAGCGGGCGGAAAATTCAATTCATTACGTAATATTCTGGCCGTTGAGGTTGTTAAATTGGAAAAAGGAAAACACAACGGCCGGCCAAATGGATATTTTATGCAAAGGGTTTTAAAGTTAATATTTTTACGTAGGTTCAATGGGATTAAAGCGGATGAGCCGGCGAGATCGGGCAAAAGGAGCAGGAAGAAGTAGGTCAGCGGCCTGGTGCGGTGGCACCTGCGGCAGAAGGTTGTAAAAATAAATGCGAAATGCAATCAAAACATAATTAATGCAATTGCAAACTAATCTTGAATGGCTCTATTCAATATTAAAATGGGCTTGGTCCTTAATTGGCTTGGAATTGATGAAATCGCGAAGAGGAGAGATCAGATCTTGGCCCCTTAATTCGTTGAGAGCACGAGCTGTTGAGATAGTTGGGAAATCCAGTTGAAAGGATGGCGGATTTAAAGAACATTTAAGCCCAGATTTACGAGGACGACACAATGCCAGCACACAGAAATGGAAATCAATTGCCAGCTGAATTCTGAAATGGGCTCCTCCAGCAATGCCAAGTATTTCCCGCGAGTATTTTGATTGGCGTACTATAACCCCACACCCCACAACCACCCCAGCCCTCCCACGCACAACAATTGAAATGCCAAACAGTCAGGAGAAGGAGCCCCCGATTTATATGTAGCACATGAATTTCAAATATTTTTTCAGCGCGGCAGGCGACACGCGGCCCTAATTGAGTGCGGGGAGCGTTGGGGTGGGTGGCGGAAGCCGCTCGAGGGAATCCTCTGTATGAACAATATTCCACAACATTTAACTAATTGAGCCAACGTGGGGCAAACATAACAGCTACCAAGTCGCGCTCCCTCTCCTCACCCCTTGCAAAAGTGAAAAATGCAAAATTTGATTTGGGAAGAATTTCTTGAAAAGATGGAGCTGCCCCTAATTGACATGTGGATGGGTGGTGGGGTGGTTGGGCTTGTTCTCCTGTCTCTCCGCTCAGCGACTGCATTGACAAAGTTGTTAAAACATCAAAAGCAGCAATTAAAATGTAATTACACGTTCTGCGACAAATCGAATTAAAAAATCAGCGTTCAAAGTTAAATAGAGTGTCGAGTGCAGGCGGAGGATGGCTGTGGGCGATGGGGGACACTGATGAGCGATGATAACGAGGTTGGGTTTCCACATTCCACATTCCGCGCTCACGGGCGGGACTGCCATTAACCACGGCAGCTTTTAGCAGAGCTCCTCCCTCGAACCCCGTGTCGAACCGTTAATTAAAAGCACTGAAACGTTTTTGAAACCAAACTGAAACCGAACTGAACTGAATTTTACTCCCTACCTCTATCTCTCTTGACAGGAATGGACCCCAACTGGCGTCACATTATCCCGCCTGGCCAGAAGCGAGTCGTTTCCGAGGGACAGTGCATCGAGGACTGCACCGGCTACGCCTTCCCCCAGCAGGGCATCAACATATTCGCGGTGATGATGCGCACCCACCAGATCGGCAAGGAGGTTAAGCTGCGCCAGGTGAGTGCCCTTCGGATTCGGATTTGCACATGTCCCTGCTTAGAAGACCATGCTAATGAGCCAACTTCTCTTCTGCTCCTAACCCCAATTGCAGATACGACAAACCGAGGAGCTGCCGCCAATTGCACACGACAGCAATATAGATGTTGCCTATCAGGACTTTCGACGTTTGCCACAATCGGTGCATTCCATGCCCGGGGATAGACTCATCGCCGAATGCATTTATGACAGTTCGTCACGAAAGGCAATTACCCTGGGTAAGTGCTCGGAGAGTACATATACTGCTATATATATATACTCCTGTATATATAGAACTTCATAGAAGAAAGCGCACCCGACCCGAACAGCCATAAAGATTGCAAGAAATTCAGTAAATTGTGAAAGGCGAGGCGAAGTCCCAACATTGTCGTGAGCGAAAATGTTCTATGAAATTGCCAATGGCGCTGGGGCGTAAACAGGCAGTGGGAGTGGCAGTGGCAGTGGCAGAGGGGGTTGTGTAAACAGGCAGTGGCAACGGTGAGCAATCGTCGTTATGACACATTTAAATCAGCCAAACGATATGCGACAGGCGGCGGTCTGGGGAGACGAATACGAGAAGGAACCGTTGCACACGAAGGCCCAAGACAAAGGCGCCGGCCACACCGCTCAGGAGGAGGAGTAGGAGGAGCAGGTGGATCCTGGCGGCGAAGACAGAGCAGCCACGTCATTGCAAAATACATAAACCAAGACAGTGAAACATTTCACTTAGCACACGGATGGGACGGCTGGCAGGTGTTGTAGTGGGTGTTGCCCTCTTCCTCTTCCCTGGTCCTGTTGTGACAGCTGCTCAGGACTCCAACGAAATGGACAATGCGGTACAATAGAGTCTGGATAGAGGTTGTTATTAATGAGATTGGAATAGTGGAAGATGGCAAAATGTGAAGCTGGCACAACAGACAACGATAATGGAAAGAACTGATTTTGGAGGATGTAGAATTGCATGAGGAGGCAAGGGGATTCAATTCAATGGGAAGTGAAAAAATGTGTAAAGGACTGCATTTGGGTGGTTAACTAAATCCCTAATACGTCTCTAAACCTAGGTACTAAAGCAGGAAGTCAGTTTAGCAGAAGTACTCCAGTTAAATTTCAATTAAATGCAGAATATAATAAGTGTTTATTTGCACAGAAAGTCATTATTGCGTTCCATTTAAGATGAAATTGTACAAAGCCTTTGCCAGAGTCGCAAGTGCCAGCCACTTCCCTGCAGTCCCACTACTTTCTCCCTGAAGTGGTAAAGAACAGCACCTAGCGCAAATTTGACTTTCTTGCTTGCTTGCACAAATTCAAACACAATCACAGGAGGTGGCGTTGCCGGGGGGATGGGGACTTGCTAGACGGGTGACAACTCTCAATAGAGACACACGGAGTCTTAATAGACAAACGTAACGATGTTGCACGGTCGGGAAGGGGGGCAGGAACGGTAACGGGACCAGATAGATCCGAGCCAGTGAGGCGTGCGCCCGGAAACATAAAGCAGAGCCCAACTGAAACGAAACTCAAATAAAGCAGTGCCCACGCAGGCACTAAATGGCGACGCCATTTCATGATGTTCCGAGCCATCAGCATCAGGGCTGTCTCCATTCCTCCATTTTGTAATATTATTATGATGGCGCCTTGGCTGTTTCACTGTGCTGCCAACTGCAGCGGCCGCTTAATTTCGTCCTTTGTTGCAAGCAAGGGAAGCCAGCCAAGCCAGCTTGAGTTGAAAGGACGAAGAACAGGACGGGGTGTTACCTGCCCAGCCAGCCAGTCAGCCAGGAAATTGTCCACCACTCTCGCCTGGTGACACTTTTTGCATTCTAGGGGGGACAATGGGAACGAATGGGCTCGGGGATATCCCGCTTTTGTTTTTCACAGCTGCATTACTTATGCATTTTGTCTGATCCCCCAATTTTCCTTCCTCTCCTTCGAACAGGTGGACTCACCATGAAAGAAGAAAGCTGCACGGTGCTGACACTCTACTATCCGCGCCAGAAGAAGCTGACAACGTGTCACTCACTGCCGAGTCTGCCCACAGTGTTGCACTCCCTCGGCATCGAGCAACTGGCAACGTAAGTACTTTATTTTCCTCTGCCCTATCAAAATTGCATGGATAGTCCTGGGTAGGCGCATTCCGGATCTGGATCTGGATCCGGATGCCGATCCTGGGCTAATGAAAATTGACACATTACGAATAAGAATATGTATCGTAAAGCGTGAACATTTCAAAGGGAATGGACGCCATTATGCCGAGGGCTTTTTCAGAAGTTGATCAAAGGTGAAGAAAAGCTAACTTGCATCTCCACCACGATGTGCCCTCAGAAAGATAGAAGTCGAGCACTTTTCAGTAATTATTTGCCAAGATGAGGTAGTTTTAAGTCTGAAAGAGAACACCAGACTCTCCCAATCAATTTAGCCGCTATTCACATTCAATTTGGACCCATTGTAGCTTCTCCGGTCCTCTTCACCTCTTCACCTCTTCCTCGACCTGGCAGAAGCTGCCGTACTCTTCATTCCGCCCACTCGACGTTGCCGGGACCCGGCCTGTGTATAAGGAAATTCGGTTTATTCCTCTGTTGACTAAAGTAATTGGTGATTTAATGATGTTGTTGCATAACCAAATCACCTAACGAACTCGCAGTCCCCGCCAAAGAGATGTGAGAGGTCGGCTCCTCGTCGCCGTACTCGGGTATTCTCCATTCTGAAGTATTTGCCTAACAAACAATCGGAAAATGAACTGAGCACTGAGCACTCTGAGCTCTGAGCACTGCACCCTGCTCTGCTCTGCTCTGCTCTAATTGAGAATTGTGAATGTGGAAAAATAAATTACGAGACAGCAGCTACCCACGACCTCGGTTTTATTTAGAAAATATTGATTTCTATTACCGTCAAGTGCTAAATAAACAGGAGCTGCTCCATTGCCACCACCTACACCCACAGCCACACCCATTCAGCCATCAGTCAGCCGTCATTCAGGGTCCATTCAGGGTCCTTTCACCCCCACCCTGTACTTGACTCTTCGATGGTACTTGGTACACTGGCAGTGCAGCCCCATCCATCGGTCTAGGATAAATCAGCACGAGTCCATAAATATTGTATTAAAGCGTGCGCTGAAAATTAGTCGAAATTAAGCCGGAGTCGGGGCAAGGACTTGGCACGCCCTATTAATCACTTCCTATTGACACAGGCCAGGGCCGAATGGAATTGAATCGAATCAGGCCGAATCAAAGATAATTTTCTACGGTCTGCCGTGGCTCTTCGCCGCAAAGTCCGCAAATCAAAGTAAACGGCATAAATGGATTACGGTTGGTCCGGACAAAAAGGTACGGAGCGGAAAACATGGCCACGTAAATGAGTTAGGGACGCGGGAAGGGGCAGCTGGGCTGGGATTACATTAAGATGAAAAGCGACTGTTAAAAGTGTTAGTTGGGTATTTGCGGCTTGATTGGTTTTAGACAAGATGGAAGTTAGGGAATCCTAATCACTGTCCTCGACAAGGGGTTAGCCAAGCATCTTAGAATCCTAAAATAGATTCCAAATACCGCCACCGGAACCCATAATATCCCACTTCACGCCACTGAGCCCGTACAAACACGAACCCATCATCTGCCGGCTTTGTCTGCTTGCAACTTTTTGTTGTAAGTGATTGGGGAGCGCAGGCCCATGGCGCATGCATTGCCTTTTTGTCCAGACAATGTCCACTTCATGGACTCATGGACTCAGGGACCCCGAACACAGTCCTCCGCTCCGGCCGACGGCATCTGAACTGGACTGCGTGTACCCGAAATCGACATGAATTGATAAAGTCATTTGCAATTGTCTGCCGTTATGGGACTGCCACAGCCGGAGTCTGCAGGAGTACGGGTCCAGGCCATCTCCGGACCGTGTTATTGTTGCCGTTGTTGTTTCACGCGCTTGTTGTTGTTTGTTTAATACAATGCCCCCTGCGTCCCGCATTGTTGCCGTTCCTGTTATTGTTGTCGGTCGGTTATTATGGCCACTGCAATTTTGTAGCGCTTAATGTCCGGCTACGGGTCTGAGCCCCTTCTCCGGCTCTGGTTCCGGGTCCGGGCACGGGTCCGGGACCTAGAGTTCCTGCAACCGAAAGTGCGAATGCGATATGAGGATTAAAATTCATAATGAAAACCCGAACGACAACAAACGAATTCGGTGGGCCGAGGACGGGCAGTGATGGAAGTGCAACAGGGCCAACTTTCGGTGGGCGTGGCCAGGACTGCGGCTCCTATTTGTTCTATGTCCAGATCGCCCGCAGGTACCGCATGTTGTACGCTTCAGGTTTAATTAAACAATGATAGAAAACGAGCGCGGGCGAAACAATAACAATAACATCAGCAGCCTCTGGAGTGGGCGACTGTGAGTACTCGAATGCGGTTCATTCATGGAGTTGCCCTTGTGGACTCTAAACTTTTTAATCCTTTCTAATTACATTTTACAGAGTAATTAAACAGGCAATGAAAAGACTGTTAATTATCTCTAGACAGATTTCCATTCCTTCCATTCATTTAAATATAGCAACCAATCAGGACTTGACTGGATCCTTGCACAGAATTGATGGTTTTTATACCCGTTACTCGTAGAGTAAAAGGGTATACTAGATTCGTTGAAAAGTATGTAACAAATAGAAGGAAGCTTTTGCGACCCTATAAAGTATATATATTCTTGATCAGGATCAATAGCGAAGTAGATTGAGCCATGTCCGTCTGTCCGTCCGTCCGTCCGTCCGTCCGTCCGTCCGTCCGTCCGTCCGTCCGTCCGTCCGTCCGTCCGTCCGTCCGTCCGTCCGTATGAACGCTGAGATCTCAGGAACTATAGCATTTACAAGGTTGAGATTAAGCATGAAGATTCTTGAGGTCCCGGGACAGCGCAAGTTTATTACAGCATCCTGCCACGCCCACTCTAACGCCCACAAATAGCAAAAAACTAAAATTGCTGAAATCTCAGGAACTATTGCAGTTAGAAAGTTGAAATTCAGAAAGTATAATCTTTAGATGACAGCGCATCTTATAGTAGTACTACTATCCGGCCACACCCACCCATACGCCCACAAGGCTCAAAAGACGGTTTTCGGATTTTCTAGAAAAGCTGATATCTCGGTAACTATAAGAGATAGAAAGTTCGGATCAAGCATGTATGTTTCTATGATGCTCCCAATGCGAATTGTTTTTTTCCGATCACGCCACGCCCACTCTAACGCCCACAAAACCCGAAAAACCAAAAATGCAAAAATCTCAAAAACTATAAGAGCTACACAATTTTGCTTAGAAACACGTATTTAGGAGATGCCTCTGCAACTTGCCACGAAGTTGCATCCGGCCACGCCCACTCTAACGCCCACAAACCGCGGAAAACTGTGGAGTCTATAATATTATTATGAATGCCTTCGTTTGACCTTTTGTAACTTATTTCTGTTAATATCTATCGATTTACAAAAGATTTTTCAAATCGGAACATTATTTCGCTATTTATGAAGAAATTAAGGTTATAAGGCTCCACATGGGCAGTGACGTCACTATAAGCATACTCAACATACTTCCTCTGACAATAGGTGGCGCCTTGTGAATTTCCACTAGCAAAATTAATATTTTAAAATTGTGTAAAACAGTAACGGGTATCTTATAGTCGCGGCACTCGACTATAGCGTTTCCTCTTGTTATCTATTGGTTCACGCAACGGTGGCCATGTACTAACCGGTGGCCAGCTCCGATTCGGCATGCCATGCCGAATGATAGGCTAATGATGCACACAGGTCATAGCCGGCAACATCGGGCGGCCAAATTGAGGCTCAATTGGTCTGCAACTAATGTAATTATAAGCCACTTGCAAATGCCGACCGGTATCCTCGCAATCAGAGCCTCAGCCCCCCAGGACTCCCCTCGTGATGCTTATTGTGGTTGAAATTCAATTTAATTTGATGCGCACAGATTTTCGGCGAGTGTATCAAAGGGGTTTCCAAAACTGTTTGCAGTTCAACTGCGGCTCAATTGACCAACACACAGAGATACACTCGGACGGGGAGAGATGCGACACAATAACGGGAGTGGTGATGATGGAGCAAGCCCGGGGTGGTGGCTGAATGGGTGGAGAATTATGGGCGCCCATCAGAAGGCTGGACCACGTTGTCGTCGTTGTCGTCGTCATCATGCAAAACTCATTGAAGTCGTTAGCGTGCGTCGGGGCCCAAGGACATAAAGCACACAATGCATCCGAGAAGGGTTGGGTGGTGGTTGGGTAGTGGGTGGTGTCTGGTGGTCGTTGGGCGTCTGTGAGGAAGTGCAGTAGCTGGCAACAGGACATCAACTGGCTGGGGAATGCAATGCCGCACAGTGAGAAACGACTATGGAGGCTTGTAGTTGCTGTAGAAGATAGTATAGAAAGAAGTCGGATTAAAGTTCATTGTTTATTTCTGTTGATGAAAAAGAGTTTTTAGAATCTAGATTAGCTAGATTCCATAATCAAGGAAAATAGAAGATGCGGAGGAGTTCAAGTCAGTGCAAGTTCAGTAGGTTTCCGGAAAGGAGACGGACATTTTAGTACCACTGATTGGAATCAGCTGGTTAGAGTAATTTCTTCCCGTGCACCTGCTGACTCGCGAAGCTTCATTGATCATGCGCCCAATGGGCGATGGCTTCCTCCTCCACCACATACTCCTTTGGCCAGAGCCTGATTCCTGAATCGCTCCGATGCCCGGGCCCGATTGCCCCGTTATTGGCTTAATTTACGTTTTACGTTTTGGGGTTTTGCTGCCTGATTTTTCCGCGCGGCCCGATGACCATTTCGGGAGCGCTTTTCGAGCTCCAAACGAAACGAACGCGCCAGGAAAAGGGAAAAGGGAAAAGGGGAAAGGGAGAAAAAAGGGAAAACCAGAAAAAATAATGTGATAGTGGTTTTTACAATTTACGCACTTGCCATGGCCACCGAAATTAATTTTAATTGTACGTGCGTTTGTATCTCGCTGCCTCACCACTGGCCTGGATCTGGTCTGGTGCCGGCATTAAAATCAAAGTAATTATTCAAGTTGTGTGCACTTCCACTTCCACTCCCACTCCCATTCCCATGTCATGCCCATTCCCATGCCCACTCCTGATCCCTCTGTGCTCCGTTGCTGTCCCTGCCCACCGCGTCCGCCTTTGTTTATTGGCGTTTTCTGTTTGTTGAGCTACGCAAATTGGCTTCATTTTATAGTGCTCGCCGCTGGGTCGCAGCTTTCGTTAATTGTTTGGGGCTGAGTGATATAGATATCCTCTTTGTGCCCAGTTTCCTCTTCCTCTCTTCCCAAAGGGAGCCTCATTAAGGCTCATGATATCCTTTATTACTTTATGACTTCTCCTGCCCGGCCAGGATGCCTTCATCTTTGCATATCGGATGACCGCCTGCACACACGGACTCTTTCGGGCTTACGGCTCCGTTCGCTTTGTTATCGATACTCCTGCCGTGGCTCATCGCAATTATGCGGCGGGAAGTTTCCTTTGCGTTCCCCATCTGGTTGAGTTTATTCTTTTAAGTCGCGTAAAAAGTTGATCAGTTGATTAATACCAATATACACCTTGCTTGTCTCTCATTATTTTTACATTTTTTGTTAAGTATGCTGATTTAACTTAATATTTGAAGGAACGTGAAGGTTTCTTGACCTTTTTCTAACCCCTTAAGGCGTCGAATGCAACTTTCACGGTAAAGCAACTTGCAGATATTGTAATGCAGTAATGCAGCTCTCCACAGAGGGATACATTGCCCTTTTGTCGTTTAACTTCGATCTAAAGATGCCTTGATTTGAATTTCTTTTTTGAGTTTATAATAGCTAGATTGATCATGGATTCATTTTCGAATGTCCACCTCCTCTGCCCACTCTTTCATTTTCATTTGTCATCAAGAACGGTCATTCGGTCGTTATGCCAATTGCAATTGCATTCGGCTCCAAAATTGAATTCTGCCTCCATGCGAACAGGAGGTCATAAATGCAAACACGGACACACACTTAGCCTCCGCCGCAGCTACTGTACCACGCCCTCCTCCGACCTCCGTCCACCGGCCTCCTGCTCCTTTGCAGAGTTGCGCCGTCGTCATAACGCTACATAAATAAACCCATTGCAAAGCGCATTGCAGTTGGAACCCCAACGAGGAGTGGAAATGGATGTGCATGTGGGGATTGGCACAAGAAGTGCAGAAGTACAGGAGCCGGAGTTGCTGCTGCCGGATTCCATGGCCATGGCCTAGAGCCGGTTCCGCTCGAAATGCATTTCGGGGCTGGCATTGTGATGTGCCATTGGATTTTATAATCAACAATGCCAAACCAGTGACTCCCCAATCCCACTCAGACCCCGGGACCCGATCCTTTGTCCTGCCGAATGTTGCTGCTGGCTAGTTGGCCGGATTCCTGTTGCTGCTGGGCCATCATTTTAATTATACTGAGTGCCAATGAAGTCAATGGCGATAAGGCTAAAACGCCGGCGATTGATGCGGCACAGCGGGGCGTTCGAGTGGTGAGTGGTGAGTGCTGGGCGGGGCGGGGCAACATCCTCTCTAGGATGTTATCCCGTTTTTACATTACCCACATCTGGGTGAGTTTCCACTGCATTTATATTTATTATACGTGTGTGGGAGGTCACGGCGGCTTCGGTTACGGCCATGCAGGCCGGATATATTAGCAAGCGAACCTCGCACCCCTTAGCCCAACTCCCCTCGACACCCTTCCAATGAACCGCAAAACACCAAATGTAAAATGCAGATACACGACGAGAAAATGTCCTGCCCTGATATATTTTTCTTGAATTTTCATTAAGGTTCTACAGGCTGTCATAGATATCATGTGTTAATCTGATCAGTAAACCGCTAATCTATGATACTTTAGTAGATCCCATGAGGGATATTGGAGATTTTCTAATGATCCTTCGGAAAGTAGTTCATATGCCAAGTGAAAAGCATTTAAAATTCCATCTTAATAATGTCATGCATTTTGTTAATATTTATGAATATTTTTGAATAAATTGCCAAGATAAGACTATCCATCATTTTCTCCGAGTGCACCGCACTGCCGCAAAACAGATGGACGGAGATGGGCGGGCCATATATTATTTTATATTATTATTGCGGGATGCAGGACATGGATCCGCACCACACCGACATGGACATGCGGGAGGACTCGCACAAGTGGCCAGCGCCATTAGAGGATGTCGGACGCAAGACGGAGAACGGAGGGGGAGGTTTTGCAATCAATCCGCAGACATTAATATTTTTCGTGTTTCCAACCGCAAATTGTTGCGGCTGTTGCAGCGGCACTTTCAGCCCCACCCCCTTTCAGGCAACAGGATTTCTCGCCGCAAGAGTCATCCCCCTGCCACCTCGCACCACGCAACCGTCACCTCTCTCCTTTCGGAGAGGACTATCGCAGACACAACCCTCGATGCGGATTGAGTGGAATCATAAATTAATTAAAAGAGATTTGTTTGCGGCTTCCAAAGGATTCTGCCAGCCGCCAAAAACAACTCGCAGGAGAGCACAAAGAAAATGTGCGTTGCTAGCCCCGTCTCTTTCCCGCTCTATCTCCCATTCACTTTCTCTCTAGCTGTGTGTGTGGGCTCTATGAAATTAAAGCAACATTTTTCGTAATGCCCGGCAAAGAACAAAATTAATTAGCCTAATTGTAAGGGCGGACGGACATGTCGAGGGGCAGACAGCTCGGAGCGGAGGCAGCCAAGCCAAACCGAACGAAACGGAGCGAAATGAATGAATGGAGGAATGAATGAGATGAGATGAATATATAGAAGGAATTTATATTGCACAACATCCAGCCAGTGGTGTAGTTAGCAGAAGGGGTAAAGCCCTGGCTCGGATTATCCAGCAGGAGGCATTATTATGGGAAATAAGCTAAAGACTCTTCGGGAAATGGTTTTCAGTCTTAATTTATTATTTATTTAACTTGTTATAATCAGATTATACTTGACTATTGAAGATCAGTCCAGGGAATTCCATTAAGAACATCTGATTATGCCAATGTTTACTCTCAATTTCTTGGTAACTCTAAACTAATAGTAAATCTTGTGGAATTCGTACCTGAACAAAAAGAAGATGAGAGCTGACAGGAAGTAAGACTTTACAACTATCACAAAGTCAAAGGTTTATGTTCCATCTATCAATGCTTTGAATTCGCTTGTTGAACTTTCCAAAGATCTCATTCCTTTGTGAAATCGCAGCAATCTGACGGCAACTAATGACAATGAATCGGTTCTAAGGACCCCCTTGCCCTGAAGCCTTTCGGAATACTAGTGATAAATGGACAGCCAGTCCCGAGTAAAAACAGAAATCAAATTAAAAAGCCAAATTATACATATTTGTTATAGGAGAAAGGCCCTGGGCAGGAGGATTGACACAATTGAATAATCAGCAAACAAACGGAGCCACAGCAATGGCTTCCATGAGCCAATCCATTAGTCATCTGCCTCGACTCTTCCGGTCGGGGTTTGCAACCCCCTGGACTACTCAAACTACGCCACTGATTGCCTGGCGCTGAGGTTTTACACTTTTGGCCCATTTGTTAGGTTTTTCTTACCCCCGAGGTCCGTGCCCCGTTGGGTGTGCGGTTTTTATTTCGCTTTGGCAGACCGAAATTGTAACAACGTATTTGACGCGTCACAAATGAAAATCTAAAAGATTAATTAGCTCAAGTTTTTGTTGAGCGCGCGCCTTCCCCGACGAAAATCCGAGCGCAAATCTGGCAGGACTTACCGCGAGAAGGGAATCCGCCAGCCGGGGATCAGGACTCCACCCTCGCGGCCTCTTCATTCTGGGGGTAAAAGTTGAAAATCTGCTGGCAAAGCGCCTTTTCGGGGTGGCAGGCCATCTCAGTCCTGTTTGCGAGTGTAATAAATTTTAAGTCCTAATCAAAGTTGACAATAATAATAAAGTTAATAATGTTATTTAGCATCCTCGTCCTCGTCCTCTAACGTTTTCGCATCTCTTATGTCTTATCTTACAGCGACTCGAATCCCGTGCTTATATCATCGCCACCCGAATTGGCCGGAATGACACTGGAGGCACGTCTGATATCCTACGACTGGGAAAATCAATTTGGCGAATTCCAGGAGGCCACACGCAAGGGCAGCTTCAAGCCCATCTGCTGGGGAGCCAAGAATCATGTGGTGCCGGTAAGTTAAAGTTAAAGCCAGACTTTTCGATTTATGTTTGCCTGCCTGATGATAACGGGGCGAAAGCTGGAAGATGGAGTGCTCCACTTTTCCAGAGGGAGGAGCATAGGAGAGATATCTGTCCCTGTCCGCTCTGTCACAGTTGAAATCGCATTAACCCTTTTTATCTATCTGGGCATCTCAATCTCGTCCTTCTTACTCCGCTCGTTCGCCCTAATCGCAGGGAGCATTTCGCTCGTCCTGCTGCTTTACATCCATCAGCTTAATCAGCTAAATTGCTAGACAATATCTGGGATAATTTTTCTTGCTGCCATTTGATGGCCCCACCTAGCCCCAGACCCACTCCCACTGCCATCCACTGCCACCCACAGTAGCAGGGACCACCAGACAAGTGCTCATTTATTCATTGCGCGGGGCGGTGCAGCCGGAGAGTTAAAGCAGAAAAGACATTAGGGCCACCGCCACATCCACATCCCCCACATCCATCGGTTGGGGCAAAATGCGGGTAATGTCTACCGGAAACCGCACGTTATAAAGTGCAATCAATTGCATTGCGGCCATGGGCAGCGTTCGTTCGAGTTTGTTAGGCGCCACTTTACGGCAGTCTGGAGTGCAGAGTGTAGATGGTAGAGTGTAGAGTGGAAAGTGGATAGTGGATAGTGGATAGTGGATAGTGGGCTTCCCTTTGGCTCGAATGAGTCACATATATCAGCCCAACACACGTACGACTTCGACAACGATCATTCTAATGGGTCACACAGTGAGGCGAACCCGGAACAGGGCCAAGCCGGAGGACGATTCCCAGCCAGCTGGCTCTAATTCACGTCCAAAATGGTTTAGACCAGCTGACTGAATGCTCCCATATGAGCATGATTCTCGCATTCCCTTTCTCCTTAATACTTTTCTCTGTGGAAATTGTGGGAAATTGCTTAAGTTGGAAATTGTTGCCATTTTTATGCCACTGACTTGGCCCGGCGTTCACTTTGAGCTCCGACTTCGACTACCAGTCCCGAGCAAAATTATCAACGCTTGAATTGCCATCGATTTTCCGTGCTATTGCGTTAAATGTTGTTGGCCATTTCAGCCCGCTTCGGCTAGGGCTCTGCCATTTTTTTGCAGCTGTCCTTTGGTCAATAATTCATTGAAGAACTCACCCGTAGGCAGCTCCACCACCCACTTGACGGACAGGCCCATCGAATTTGTAAAAACCCTCGAGGCGCCCAAATTAGCAGAGATGCGAGCAAAAAATCCCATAGTGTGTGCTCGGGCAAAAGGTGAACGGCAGTTTAATGTAGCGGAAAATATACAGCGGCAAAAAGGTGACAAAGGAGCAAAAGAAGCCTGTGATTAGTTTCCACAAAGCTCCCAGATCCCAGGGGTTCGGTGAGTCGAAAGACCTAGTTCCTGGTCACAAAAAGATCTCCAGCTGATGGGGCTCAGTGAGCAACGGGGTTGGAGATTCGGCCAGATAAATTCCGGAAGCCTAACCAACTGAGAACTAATGCCATGAAAACTGATTGATTGATATAAAGTTATGGCCAAAACAATCAAGACTTTAGCACCAACAACTCCTTTATGAGCCCCTTTTTGGGTCAACTTAATTAGCATAGTATAAAATATGGTAGCTCACTTTTTTGGGCCAGCTTTGGCTTTCAAAGCCGGCAAAGCGGAGGGCCAAACACAAAAAAAGGCCAAAGTAGACCAGCCTAATTAGCATGTCAATCTCTGTACACAGACACGGCAAATCTACGGCCCGGCTTTGGGGCGGCCAGAAAATTAAGGAGCGAGCCATTAAAGCCTCAAATTTATGCATAGAGCAAAATCGCACATTTTATACTGTTCAACCTGAATGGCCATGGAAACTCAGAAACAACACACAAACAAACACACATTCCGTTTCAATTAAAATGTCTGTCAGTGGCAACAAGGCGAACTCTTCTCGAACCCACACCTTGATCTGTGTGTCAAGCGTTCGGCTGCTTCCACGGAATTCCTCCCCGCCTCCTCTCACTTTATGGTCCTTTTGTGAACGCCCCAAAACGATTCACAAAATGCCTTTTCAAAAATTCAGCAACCAACAACGAGCTCTGCCATCGCCATCGCCATCGCCGTCGTCGTCGTCGTGGCCGTTGCGCGATTTGCATAATATTATTAGTAAACACTCGTTATGAAGTCAGCCACGCCCACAGACCACCGTCCGCTGCCCACCGATGCCCGCCCCCCACAAATGCAGACATTCGCTAGATTTAGATTTTCGACTGGGCATAAAATATTTGACCGCAGCGCAAGTCCCAAGCTCTCCCCGCCACACGCCGCACCTATTTATAAACACAAATTTATTCAGCGTAATTAAAACACAAAATTTTGCCAACGAATTCGCTGGGGACTCCAGGAGTAAACACCGTGCGGCCGTGGGAGGAGTGGATGTGGATGCGGATCTGGAACCTGCTCCGCAGCTTCATTGTTTTGCAATTGTTCCAGGATCTCACTTGAGCTTGTGCGCTGTTTACCCTATCTCGTTTTGTATCTGTGTTTTCTGAAATGGGTTTGCTGGAACTATTTCCGTGAACCTCTAAATAATATTGTTTGTAGGTTTACCTCTTGCTGAAAAAGGGACATTATAGTTTCGTCTGTATGTAAATCTAATTTTATGATCCACAACCAAATAGATTTTTAAGTTTAATCATATCTAAATTGCTTATAAGTTGCGAGGATAAGGCATTGCCTGACAAGATGTTCTAGGAGAAAGATTTCTAATTCATATTTAAGCCAGCTACCCACAGACCTACATAAGCCATAAAATCGAAATTTAATTCAGATTTAGCAGTAGAGACATATTCCGGTTTAAAAAGAGTATGCCACAGAGCGTCGTCCTTGGTCCTGCCCGTTTTTGTTGCACTGTCAACGGCATAAATAAGCTTTTCAATTTCCTCGCTCGCTCCATCTCGGAAGGACAACAGCCGAAAACAGCGCTGGGAAAAGAGAAAAATTTAATTAATGTCGTAATTTATTATATACAGATCCAGAGCCACAGCCACTAATGTTTGCCATTTCCTCTCCTTTTTTTATCGTCCCACAGGGCTCCGAATTCCTCGAGGGCTACAGCATAAATGTGACCAAGACGTACAAAAAGCACCGCCGCTGCAAGCCCAAACGTCCCCTATCCCCGCCCACCGAACGCACCGCTCCCCCACCCGCCTCCGACCTCAGCGAGCTGCCGGTGCTCCACGAGCTGGACAACAACAACATAATCGAGGGGGCGGCTCGGAGCAGCCGCAGCTCGGCGACCGACGTGCACGGGCTGAGCCGCAGCAGCGGACGCCAGTTCATCAGCTGCCTGCTCTGGCTGGGTGCCTCGTCCTGGTGGCTCCTGCTGATGCTCAGGACGTGAGGAGATTGAAGGGGACCCGGCGACAGACGAAGCAGCAGCGGGAAGCACAGGCACCACCGTCTCAATACACTAAACTAACCTAACCAAACAGCTAAATGACAGATGGAAAATCAGTGGAAAACATAAAGTAGAGTGCTGAAATAGCGAACGCAACTCAACTACAGCTCTCTCTAACTACAAGCGACATCTCTTAATCCTACTACAGATACAGATGCAGATACATTTACAGATAAAGATACAGATACAGATACAAATAGAAGCAAAATGAAAATGCGGAAAAGAGGAAAAGATGAAATATTCATAATAAGCTAGCGTATAACAGCTTTTCCCCGTCCCCTCTCCCGTACACCTGCTGGTCCCAAACGCCCATTTATTTAAGCTCCTCCCTCCACAGTTTTGTTGATTTTGTTCTAGAGTTTTAGTAAATTATTAATGATTTTTTTAAGTAGTCTAAGCTGAAAAAAAAACCGAAACAAAAACAAATCTCAAAAAGGAAAAACAAAAAGAAAAACGAGAAAAAAACAAGCAAAGGAATGTCGAGAAAAAACCGAAAAGCAATAATTAGTTGTTGTTGTCGTTATTAAATATACAAAATGCGAAATTGTAAAGGATACAGATATTATAGATATACACCATGACTACATATAGACATATAGGCAGTCATTCCTTCAACCATAACGGATATAAACCATACACATATATTTAGATATCTATGTATACATATAGGGTCTGACTTATGTAAAGCTTGAGCGTCTGATGGGTTTTGTTGGGCATTGCAAGAAACAATCGTAGAAGGGACAGGCATCAAGTGGCAAGTAAGGACCGCGCATCAGGCCCTTCCTCCCTCCCCCAGTTAATTTTAGTCCGAGCAACTAAGTTCGAGCGGCAAATCATAGGTACTCCACACGAACGAACACGACACGAGCATGCATAAACTTTATACGTCCATTTAAGAAGCGAATCGAGAGATACAGATACCAGGAGGTGGGGTTTAGTTTACGTTAATGTTAGAAAAGACTTGGATGAATTTACTCTGTTAGGCGAAAGACTAAGATTGTCCATCAACAGTTTATAGATACGTTAGGCTGATTTCAAAGTTGCAGTTACGAAAGCTGTCAACCTATCGAACTATCACTATCAATTCAACCCAACTGCAGTTCATTTGGTTAACCTATTCTGAGGACCTACACTCGCGCTTTAATCCTAAGTTCCATTCAGTTACCTAATGCAATCTACCTGCTCTCTCAACTACAAAGCGAAATTAGGGAAAGCAGCTTAGATATTCGCGCACTCAAAGTGCTGCCTCCTCTCTTTCTAACTCGCTGTCGTTCTACTAATATCTCTACGTTAAACACGATAGGCTATAACTTTCCTAGACCTAAGTTGTAAATATAATCTAGCGGACGGAGAAGGGGAAACTAGGTGCGGAGTGGAAGCATAATACAGGGTGTGTGATTAGATATCAACTCTCGATCAGCTCTAGCAGCTCTAGGCGTATGTCCTACTAGGATCTGCATTCAATGGCATTCGGGTAGGCAGTTAGGAGTGAACGGCGGCGCCGCCAACATCTGCTCGAAGTAGTAAAAATATACCATATACATACGACATAAATATAAAGTAAATTTATATATACACATACGATAACTATAACTATAAAGTCTATATATACAATAGCATACATCTATAAGTAGTTACGTGGTTCGTAGTTGTAAATGTGAATGTGAGTATTTTATACAAAACACAAAGAAACGAAATAAAAAACAGAAAAAACTAAAATCGAAAATGAAAAATGAAAAACGAAAAATGAAAAATGAAAATAAAGCAAAGCATGAAGCGATAACAAGAAAAACATTTTTATACCAAAAGACAGAGAGCGAAAGATGATAGCGAGGATAAACCCCTTTGAGCGATCGAGAGTAGTCGCATGCTATATATACAAATCATATATATATTTTAGGATAACTGCTGTAACTAAGATTAGTGACAAGTTGGAGTAAGCAAAAAGCAAATGCAAAGTTGAAACAATCAAAATAACATTTAAACAACAAGCGAAATCACAAAGAAACAAAAATGAAAACACTTTTTTCCGCCAAACTATTAAAAGTTTGCCTCACACAAACACGCAAACGCAAAAGCACACAGACACCGACCACCAACACACACGCACTCACGCTGACAAAACTGGAAGCCCTGTTGGTGGAAAAAGTGAAACTTTGGCGTAGCCTTTATATATGGGCCATCCTGTTTTTGAGGTTTTCCCACTTGTCGGCCAACTTTTTAATGGACCCCTCCCGGCCTGAACCACCACTCTGAACCACCCCTTCCAGCCTTCCAGTTGAATGCCAGCGCCTTAAGCTGTGCCGGCAGCCCCAACTGGGTCTAATTAGGAGCGATGAGCAACCGACATCGTTCTCATAGTTTTGGCTTTCGATTCGCCGCTTTGTCCTTTGTCATAGCAACCTGGCCACTTTTTCCTTCGCCTCTTTTTACCTTTGTTTGGCACATTAATTAAACTTCTTGCCCGGGAAAAGCCAGAGAGCGGGGAAACTGGGCAAAAACAAGGCGCACAATTACAAAGGCCAGCGGAAGGAAACTAAAACGAAAACATTCCTTCTTTGGCTCGCCAATTGGAAATTAGTTTGGCCAACTGGTGAACAAGCACACAAAACACACACTAATCCACACACACAGACACACACAAACCGAGGGAAACGTATTCATATAATTTAATTAAATGCAAACAACAAAAACGGTTTTGGAAAATGTACTTGCGATAGAAACGATAAAAAAGTCGGAAAATAGTTTCAAAAACTACATATACAAAGCGTAATAAAGGGGAACTAAACGAAAGCTAAACTAAAATAATCTAACTAAAGCTAAATACGGAAAACTCACAAACACACTGGCACAGCACATTGGGAAGGCAGCAGATAGCCGGAGATGAAGCCCAGAGGTATGGACAAAGGTGTCTCGGGGATATAAGCTGATAAAGAGCTTCAGCAACCTGACCGAAAGTCTGCGCAGATTAAGCCAATGAATCGGGCTTCTTGGCCAAACTTTTCTTGGCACGATAGTCAGAGCCCAGTCTAGAGTCCAGCGCGGGAAATTCGAAATCCAGAGCAGAGCTTTAAAGTCCGTTCAGCTCTTCCCGGCTTTGGCCATTCGCAGGCTCTGCTGGCTCAATGCTTTGTCGGCCAAGTCCACTTAGCTCCATCTTCTATCCGTCTATCAGAATTTAGCATTTTTTCGCTCAGCTTTGGCCCACTCTGACTCCGGTCCTTTGTTGTCGCAGAAAAAGCAAGGGCGGAGGACTTCATTCAGGAAACTAATAAGTTTTTAAAACTGACCCAATTAGCTCGTTTAACTTGTTTCCCCATTCTGCAGATGCCTCAAAGACACCTTTTGTTCGTCCACTCAAAGGCATCTCAATAGGCGGGGCAAAGTATCCCCAGAACCAGAACCAAACCCAAATCCTCCAGATCCGGATTGGAGGCTGTCAAAGTGGCAAAGTAGCGAACACAAAACACACACTCGCATACACAGAGAACAATGTAGATGTTAGTAGAATATATCCAAGATACATATGTGTATATGTTCTTAGGTCCTCTATAGAAAGTTTTTATTTTGCGGACGAGGAAAGGCAAACCAGTGAATAAATGCGGAATCAGAGAGAGAGATGAGAGATGGGAAACCAAAACAAAACACAACCTACCTAAAACGATAAAAACCTAACTATTTTTAGTGTGTACCTTGATTTTTTCAAAGCGAAAGAACCCTGAGATGAGCAGCGGAAGAACCCCGGGAGATCTAATATTAATAGAATATATATATATATATGAGAAATAACGTAAAAGTAAAAGCAATAATGAGCAAACGCATAGCTATCAATAGGAAGGTCGAGAGAGTAGGCTAAACAAATACCCTAACTCTAGGCAAAAGATAACAGTAAGGCAGAGTCGGCGAGTGACGAGTGAAACGTGTAGCATACTTTTTGGGATGCATATTGGCGGGAATGGATATGAACCGATCTAGACGAGATCGGAATTGGAAACGGAATTGGGAACAGAGGCAAGTTAAAAACGGTTAGAGAGGGCAGAAATCGAATTGCATATGAGTAAAACAAAAACGAGAAACAAAAAACAAAATAAACTATTTTAAAGTAGAGCAGTTTGCAAAACGTATTTAAATGTGTCGTTAGAAACCCCAAAAATTGTAGTTGCATTGTCGTTAGCCATAGTAGCAAGTTGCATATTGATACGAAGAGGAGATAGGAGCAAAAATGAAATTGAGAGGAAGAAGCATACATACCATACATCAATCAAAGAGAACTAACATAGCCGGCATCTTAGAGACATCATCAGTATTTGCGTATAAGTCCTGCATGAATCGGAATACAGACAACCAGGCCCACATAGATACATATACATATGCATACAAACATATAAATATCGTAACGTACGGATAAATATAGCTAAAACCAACCACACAGAATCCCAAAGCAGTCCCCATAAAAGAAAAGTGAAGAAACTTAAAGTAAAGCCCCATTAAAGGATAACACCACTTGATCATAAGCTGAAGACATCTGAATCGAGCTCTGCGAGAACGGAGGCAACTGTACTTGAGTGGGAGGACAGCACGGTTAATACCTCCTTAATACCAGTAAATCCCCAACGGGCTTTCCTTAAGCGCTCTTCAGTCGCAGCCACATGGCCCAAGCCCACTTTCAGTTCGCCCTAACCTCAAACTGAGCTCAACCTAACCTCAATCTGTCCAAGGATAAAATGCAAGCGGTTGCCTCTACTCTCACAGCCAAGTCAACACTCACGTACAGCCACACTCCCATACAGTCACACACCAGACATTTTTGATACCGAACTAATTGATAATGAACCGAAATAACCGGAAGTTGAGTGAGGAGGACAACAGGTCAAACGGCCAGCGGACAGGCGGACAGGCGGACGGACACCATTTATCTACTGTGAACTGCATTGTTTGATTGTGAGCTAAGTTCCGACTACTACAACAACTACTCTCTATGAATGTTTTTAAGTTATTCACTAAAATCATTTTGTAATATACTAAACCGCAAGCTAAGCAACTTTTACTATAACAACAAATGATGAAAACCGAAAAAAATAAAACAAAACAAACAATAAAATAAAATATATATTAAATATATATATATATATATATATAGAAATAGAAATGTGTTCTTATTGTGTTGGCATTTTGGGAAGAGTTAAGCCCTTTTCCGGACTTTAAAATGAAAATGGATTTCCATGGCTTCTGGAGAAGTAACAAGTATTGGTGCAGATGTATTAATGTATGGGTGGATTATACCCTCTTAAATTCCTACGTATTTATTTATGCAAATTTAGTTAAATGCAAATTAATTACATAACTGCCTGTAAAAGCTGAAAACGCTGCCAAATGAAAATGTTTACAAAATGCAACAACAGAAACGGCGAGTTTGGCAACTTC